GAGTTTTCTACACAACACAATTTTGATTTAGGATATTCTCATTTTCCAATTCCAATCAAGCTAAAAAATGCCTCATCAAACCCCATCATGATTTAAATCTGTGAGTGTAAAGATGAAAATGCCACACAACCTCGTGCTTCTGCATTTGATCTACTTGGTAAACAAGATGGTCGAGAAACAATGTTTGATCGACTGAACAAGGAAGCCTCCTCTTCAAATGCCCAAAAAAGGCTTCTACACAGCTCAGAGAACTGGTTTACCAAAGTGAACCAAGTTCTCTCAAGAAATTTTAGAAACAAAGGAGTCGACGTAGACATCATGCTTCAAAGTTTGTACAAACAATGGAGGATGTTGATGATAATATCCAAATTTTCCTTGTCAATCAACAACAACCCTTGAGAAATAATGAAAAGATGAAAAAGAAGCAAAATGATGACATCAAGGAAGAAAGCATTTTTATGAACTGTCACTATTGATCAAACAATGGAAGAATCACAATCACAAGAATCATCTTCAACAAATGAATTCAAACTAACTCCATCTATACTTCAAGAAAGGGGGCAAACTTTCACATACAAGATATCTGACAAAGATCGCTTGAAGAAGATCGACTGAATCAATGAAAAGTTTTTAAAACGTTTCTACACTTGAAAGAAAGCAGCACTTCTTTACGCACGAGCCTAAACTGCATGTTACTCCTGGCCCGCATGAGTTAAAACTATGCACGACTCAACCTATAAAAAAAATAATTAAAAAAAAAAACTTGTTGCTCTTGGCCTGCATAAGCTAAAATTGTGTACGGCTTGACCAAAAATAAAGATTTACGCGCTCCTTTACGCACGAGCCTAAACTACATGTTGCTTCTGACCCACATGAGTTAAAACTGTGTACACCTCAACCAAAAAAAAATATATTTTTTTTTGCTCCTTGATGCAAAAGCCTAAACTGAATATTGCTCCTGGCCCGCATGAGTTAAAACTGTGTACTACTTGACTAAAAATAAAGGTTCATGTGCTCCTTAACGCACAAGTCTAAACTATAAGCTACTCCTGGCCCGCATGAGCTAAACCTGTGTATGAAAAAATTAAAAAAAAATACTTTTGCTCCTAACCCACATGACTTAAAACTATGTACGTCATAACAAAAAAAAAAAAAATCTATTTTTGCTCTTTGGTCTCATGAACCAAAACTGTGATGAGTTCAACCAAAATAAAAAAGGAGAAGGACTTTGAATTGTCGGTGAAGCTTTATCAAACATCAAATTCCTTGACTTTCTAGTTGACAAAGGCCTTGCAATTGAGGACAACTAGGTGAAGGAGTACATCATTCTGTCAACAGAGCAACAACGAACTACCATATTAATCCTTTAATTTTCAGCATCGAGGGATTGTAAAATGCTCTCACATTACTATAGGGATTGATCACAAGAGACTGGTTAAGGGCTCAAACTTCTGTTTATCCGATTCTATAATCCACCTATTGGGAGAACTCACCTAAGGTTGATACAGAAATCACTTTGATGCTGCCACAGAAGTCATTTAAGGTTGTCACAAAAGTCACTTCACCTATTACAAAAGTCACTTGAGGCTGATACAAAATTCACTTTTAAGCTGACATGGAAGTCACTTAAGGCTACCATAGAAATCATATAAGGCTATTATAGAAGTCACCTAAGACTGTTGCAGAAGTCACTTAAGGCTACCACATAAGTCACATAAGGCTATTGTAGAAGTCACTTAAAGCTGCCATAGAAGTCCCTTAAGGCTGTCACAGAAGTCACTTGAGACTATCATAGAAGTCACTTGAGGCTGAGGCTGTTACAGAAGTCACTTGAGGCTGTTACAGAAGTCACTTCGGCTTGACATCAAAGTCACTTTAAGGTTGACACAAAAGTCACTTTAAGACAAACATAGAAGTCATTTGAGGTTGTTATAGAAGTCACTTGAGGCTGACACGGAAGTCACTTGAAGTAGACACAAAAGTCACTTTTAAGCTGACACAAAATCCACTTGAGGCTACCGCAGAAGTCACTTCAGGTTGACATAATGATTAATTTGGGATGTGTATTTTGTTTTTTGGGAGAATATTTGTATTTTTATTTATGTGGAAGTGGTGATGGTGATTAGATTGGTTGTGAATTTTTTTTTTTTTTTTTGCGATTGCAATTGGTTTCAATTGTTTTGTATTTATTGTTCACTTGTTATTTTTTTATTTTATAAATTTTTGTTTGTGTGGAAGTGGTGATGACGATTACACTGGTTTTGAATTTTTTTCTGCGACTGCAATTAGTTTCAATTGTTTTGTTTTTACTGGTCACTTGTTATTTTTTTATTTTATATTTTTTGTTTGCATGGAAGAATAAGTAATTAGCTTGGATTTTATTATATAGATTTTTTGTTTTTTTGGTGTAATTAGTATGATTTTTTTTATTGGTGATTAGCTTGGATTTTGTGTTTTTGTTTTTTGGGAGAATTGTTTTGTATTTACTGGAGCTTGGGGGAATTGTTTTAATTTTATTTTTATTTATAATTTTGAGAACTATATGTTTGCATGTAGTAGATTTTTTTTTTTGTATAAATAATAGCTTGAATGGTGAATTTATTGATTAGATATTGGTGATTAGATTGAATTTTATTTTGAGTCAACTTTTCCTATTAGAAATTCAACTAACTTTCAAAAAAATGTGTAGAACCTGTAAATTTTTATTTATATTTAAGATTTTTTGTGGTTGTGTGTTCATATAAAAAAATAAAATATTTTCTCATTTGGATACTGATTGTGGTCTTGTTAAACATGCAAATCTTGAGTAAATATGTAATTAAAAATAGTAATACACATTTAACATAAAACATCTTTGTATAATGATAAATTCATGTCAAAGCATGCACAACTAAACCACGATAAAAATTAATTTAAAAGAACAAATATTTAATGATAATTACACAACAAATTTTAATATGGGTATAATATTTAACTTAAGGACGAAGGTTTTTTTTTTTCTCTCTCTTTGCTTTTTGCATTACCCTTCTTGCACCGACTGGCCCCAGGTCTAAAAAATTAGAGGAATGCAGGAACACATTCTGAAAAACACTATATTACAGGCATGAACACCGACTAGCCCCGAGGAAACACTATCTTGCACACATTAACACATTTTGAAAAATTAAAAAAAAAAGAATGCAGGCACACACATGAGCACAAACATAGGCACACAAATGAAGACAGTAAACACACATGAACACAGCACACAGGCGCACACACACACATGCATTGTTTCATGTATTTTTAAATGTATTGTTTCATGTGTTTCTTATATCATTTCCTGGGTTTGAATTGCAAGCCACTAATCTAGGTCTTATGGGTATTATATTTAACTTAAGGACAAAGGTTTTTTTTTTTTTTTCTCTTTGGTTTTTGCATTACCTTTCTTGCACCGACTGGCCTTGACAAATCAATATATTACACACATGAACACTTTCTGTAAAATTAAAAATACAGGAATGCAGGCACACACATGAACACACATACATGAGCACAAACACAGGCACACACATGAACACAGCACACACACATGAACAAAAACACACACACGGTGAGAGAGAGAGAGAGAGAGAGAGAGAGAAGAGCCAAAGAGAAATACCTGGACTGCTCGCAGTGGTTTGTTCAGTGTGTATTGGAGGCGCAAGATAGAGACAGAGAGGAAGGGAAAGGGTGGTTACTTCGGTGTGGGGAAAAAGTTAGAGATAAGAGAAAGTATTTTGCTTTTAAAAATGAGAAAGAGATTTAGATAAGAGATAAGGAAGAGAGACAGAGATAACTTGAGAGAGTTGGTGGGAAAATGGAAGAGATGGGTAGCTAGTATTTTTTATAATGGAAGAGAGAATGGAAGAGATGGATAGCTGTAGTTGCTGGGTTGTTTGATGGGTTGCTGTGCCGGGTGAGAGTTGGAGGGAAATGGAAGAGATGGGTTGTTGGGAGTTGCTGGGTACGTGGGTCCTAGCTACTTTATTATATAAATTATCTTCCTCTCTTTCTCTCTACCACTCACACACACACACATATATAGAGGAATGCAACCTCACAAAGCCCAAGCCACAATTCCCCACACACTGAAGAAACAAGTCGCCACATAGCTGAAAATCACTCAAGATTCTTATTTTCTCTTTATTAATGTCGAAATCACAAGAGGTGGAGGCTTTTGGATGGGCTTGCAGAGACCCATCTGGTGTTCTCNTTCTCTTTGGTTTTTGCATTACCTTTCTTGCACCGACTGGGCCTTGACAAATCAATATATTACACACATGAACACTTTCTGTAAAATTAAAAATACAGGAATGCAGGCACACACATGAACACACATACATGAGCACAAACACAGGCACACACATGAACACAGCACACACACATGAACAAAAACACACACACGGTGAGAGAGAGAGAGAGAGAGAGAGAGAAGAGCCAAAGAGAAATACCTGGACTGCCCGCAGTGGTTTGTTCAGTGTGTATTGGAGGCGCAAGATAGAGACAGAGAGGAAGGGAAAGGGTGGTTACTTCGGTATGGGGAAAAAGTTAGAGATAAGAGAAAGTATTTTGCTTTTAAAAATGAGAAAGAGATTTAGATAAGAGATAAGGAAGAGAGACAGAGATAACTTGAGAGAGTTGGTGGGAAAATGGAAGAGATGGGTAGCTAGTATTTTTTATAATGGAAGAGAGAATGGAAGAGATGGATAGCTGTAGTTGCTGGGTTGTTTGATGGGTTGCTGTGCCGGGTGAGAGTTGGAGGGAAATGGAAGAGATGGGTTGTTGGGAGTTGCTGGGTAGGTGGGTCCTAGCTACTTTATTATATAAATTATCTTCTTCTCTTTCTCTCTACCACTCACACACACACATATATAGAGGAATGCAACCTCACAAAGCCCAAGCCACAATTCCCCACACACTGAAGAAACAAGTCGCCACATAGCTGAAAATCACTCAAGATTCTTATTTTCTCTTTATTAATGTCGAAATCACAAGAGGTGGAGGCTTTTGGATGGGCTTGCAGAGACCCATCTGGTGTTCTCTCTCCATTCAAGTTTTCAAGAAGGTTTCCTCAATGGAAGAAAATATATGATTCATTATAAATTAACAAGACGAAAGTCTTTCTTCCTTTTGACATGACATATTTTTCATGAGTCAGTTTAAAATATTTTAGTTATATAGCTAGGTTGAGTGACCATGTTTATTGACACGATGATAGTGGTGGTAATGTGTGTGGTATGATTGTGCAGGGCTACTGGTGATCAAGATGTGAGATTGAAGGTGTTGTATTGTGGGATNACAGGAATGCAGGCACACACATGAACACACATACATGAGCACAAACACAGGCACACACATGAACACAGCACACACACATGAACAAAAACACACACACGGTGAGAGAGAGAGAGAGAGAGAGAGAGAGAAGAGCCAAAGAGAAATNACAGAGGAGAAAATCCACGGAGGGGTAGAAATAGAAGCCCCAAAGAGGGGCTCAATAGAACATCGAAGAGGGGGACATTGAGAGAAATCAATCCTTGACTGACAAAGTTTACTCATTGATCCTTAGAATTTCTTCTTGAGAGAATCAANTTCGGTGTGGGGAAAAAGTTAGAGATAAGAGAAAGTATTTTGCTTTTAAAAATGAGAAAGAGATTTAGATAAGGGATAAGGAAGAGAGACAGAGATAACTTGAGAGAGTTGGTGGGAAAATGGAAGAGATGGGTAGCTAGTATTTTTTATAATGGAAGAGAGAATGGAAGAGATGGATAGCTGTAGTTGCTGGGTTGTTTGANGAAATGATCAATGCAGGCGTGAGATTGTGGGTGTAGTGACCGAAGTGGGCAAGAAGGTACAAAAGTTCAAAGTTGGGGACAAAGGGGGTGTGGGATGCTTTGTGGGATCATGTCGGAAATGCGAGAGTTGTGCTAACAACCTTGAAAATCATTGCCCTGACCAAATGTCCATAGGCACTCCCCCTTACATTGATGGAATGATAATCCATGGGGGANATGTGGGATCATGTCGGAAATGCGAGAGTTGTGCTAACAACCTTGAAAATCATTGCCCCGACCAAATGTCCATAGGCACTCCCCCTTACATTGATGGAATGATAATCCATGGGGGATTCTCCGATCACATAGTCACTGACGAGCATTTTGTGCTTCGTTGGCCTGACAACTTGCCTCTAGATTCGGGCGCTCCTCTCCTCGGTGCCGGAATCACAATGTACAGTCCATTGAAGTATTTTGGACTCGACAAGCCTGGTATGCACATTGGGGTGGTGGGTCTCGGAGGACATGGCCATTTAGCTGTGAAAATTATAAAGGCTTTTGGAAGTAAAGTGACAGTGATTAGTACCTCCCCTGAAAAAAAGGAGAGAGCTATTAAAAGTCTTGGTGTTGACTCATTTTTGGTCAGTAGTGACCCAGATCAAATGCAGGTAATTATAAATTAGTAGAACTCTTTTTGTTTTTACTTTTTTTTTTTGAGGGGGGTGGTGGGGAAAGGAGAAGAAGTCGTAATCACTAGTGGATAGAAGTGAGTCTTTACCCCTGGATGAGTCCCTCATCTCATATCGAGATGTTTTGTGGTATTGATTCCTCGTGTTTTGTTTGATATAACTAGATTGCATTGGGCACACTAGATGGTATCATTGATACCGTCCCTGCAGTTCATCCTCTTCAACTTTTAATTGACCTATTAAAAACCGATGGAAAGCTTGTTATTAGCGGTGGACCATTGGAGCCGCTAAATCTGCCAGTTTGTTCTTTGATTCTCGGTAAGTACACTTCACTTACTGGTATCTATGAAAAAAGCAGTGATTAATGGTTTTTCACAACTTTAAGTTATCTAGCATTAATTTTTGATAAATTGAAAAATATAGTATANACAGTGATTAATGGTCTTTCACAACTTTAAGTTATCTAGCATTAATTTTTGATAAATTGAAAAATATAGTATATCTGACCTATGGTATGGCATGATAGGTCGAAAAATAGTGGCTGGGACCGACTTGGGTGGGTTGAAAGAGACGCAAGAGATGCTTGATTTTGCAGCAAAACACAATATTACAGCAGATGTGGAGGTTATTCCTATAGACTATGTGAACACGGCAATGAAGCGTCTTGAGAAAGGCGATGTTCAATTCCGATTTGTTCTAGATGTGGCAAACACATTGAAGACTACTTAATGTGAACATTGATGGTGATCATGGTTGTTCTTCTTCGATCATGTTTGAGTTGTTTAGTATTGATTTCGATCAGAGGGTGACCACAAGAAGTTTGATGTGTTGATTTGAATCTGTGTAATTTTTTTCTTGCCAAGAGTGTTGTCTACTTTTTTTAAACTTCATGTTGATTTGATATATGGTCTAAATCAGCTGGGGGAAGTGAAATTGTGGAAATTACAAGTGCAATTTACAATAATTTTTGTCAAAAATCTGTAGTATTTGTCAATTGCCATATAACTGAAATAATCAAATTTATTAATCATCGGCACAAACAGATTGAAATCCAATGACATACCGACTAATATCACAGGTTTACATTGAATACTTGTGTATATCTTTTTTTCGGAAAGTAAAAATATATTTCATTACACTGCTGCAAATATACAACCTACAGGGAGACAAAGCCTGCAGAACAACACAAAAACAAGACACAAGTGAGCTGAATTTTGAAGGAAGTGTAGGCCTTGAACCAGCACTTCCCCCAAAATACAATACACAAGTGATAGGAGCAAATGCAATACAACAACAACATCCCAAAAACAGAGCAGCTGGGAGTTTTTGTTCGCACAAGCTAGAAGTTCCAAGCACACACAGCACGCCTCAAGCACACAGGATTACTCAAGGCAAGACATGGGGGGGTTCCAATTTGGCACAAGCTGGATGTTCGTTTTAGAGGATTTAAACTTCATTGGAGCTAGCCTATCCTTAATGGACATCTGAATTCTACTGAGCAAACTCCAATGGTCAGTAGACCGGCGATTGAAGATACGATTGTTCCTTTCCCTCCATATGTGATAGCCAACTGAGGAGAGGCTAAGTTTGAGGAGGATAACTCTCATGGATTTCCCTGTCCAGTGTTAGCTGGTCCAATGGATGAGATCATTCCAGGGCAACAAAGTGGTTGGTGCTCCTCCCAGATCCATCAGAGGGGTCAGTACACTCTTTGAGTGCTGGAAATTGAAGAACATGTGCCGTTGTGTTTCAGCTTGCCCCTACATAGCACACAAGTATTTGTGTATACCATTATTTTGATAACTCTTTAATTTTAAATCACCTCAGCATGAAGAGTTTAAAAAATAAAGAAAGAAAATATCATTGAATACCAAGCAAATTCCATTAAACCAACATTTAGTTATATGCCTGAATCTTTTTTTTAAGGCACAACGGAAACTCCAATATTATTATCAAATGTTTAGATGAATGTTAAGCAACATAATGATACCTCGGATTTTCAATAACAACGGCTCTTGAAGGCTTGACGCAGCGATAACGAAAGGGTACGAAGAGATTACTGTTTTTAATTTTATAGAACATTAACACTCTTAATCTATAGAGAATAACTCAGAAAATGTAGATAATACATAGAACAATTTAAAGGAAAACTAAAAACCTTGAGGTTTTCAAAATAGAAATATCGACTTGGTTCTATGTCATACTGTCAAATAATAGCGAAACTAATTCAAAGAGTGTAGGGGGTAATGTGAAAAACTCGATAATTAAAGGGACAAACTACTTGACCAAAAAAAAGGGGGGGGGGGGGGGGGGAAGGG